TATGTGACAAACATAGCCCTGAATAAAGCAATTTCATTTTAACACTATTCTGGAAACACCATGCAGAGCACAGGTGCACCAGGGCTGCTCAGGCAGGGGCCCTCACCAGTCGGCCAAGGTCAGAGTGGGCTTTTGTGAGAAGAGGAGGAGGTGTGCACTTCTATATCCCAGCTGATACCTTCTCATAGGCTGCCTTAGAGATTGTCCTAAAGTGAAACAATTTTAAGAAGCTACATTCTTATCCCATTTGCTAACACACATTTTTCACCTTTATTAAAAGTCTAGGTGAAAGATGTGAAGTTTTGTTATCTCCCCATTCCCTCCCTGCCACTACCTACCAAACATCTGTGGCAAATTATGAAGTCCTAAGAAGTGGCCATGACCTCAGGGAAAATTTCATTTTGCTCAAGTATTTGGGCAACCATTGCTGTGTCTGCAAGGCAAGAGTGGATGGGGTGGGGTGAGGGGACTTGAGGGGAGGGGTAAAGAGGTAGGTGGCATAATGGCTAGTTGATCAGGAAATGTCCAATTAGAGAGTCTAATAATGTTGATGAGGGCAAAGAGGCTTGTGTCCTTCCGCTTCCCCTAGACTCGAGTTGGCCTACTCACACTGAGTAGCCAACTCAATGTGAGCCAGCTGAGACCTGAGCAGTTAGTTATCTGGGTCAGCAGGCAAGCAGATGGGGTCTTCATCTATGTGATTTAGATGTCACCAAACACTCTCTCTGGCTCAGTCTTTCCTTCTCTTCCCTACCCTGAAACCTCAACATTTCACTTGGCCCCTTCATTTTAAGGCCTGAGAATTCCTATAAATGTGAATTTTAGTAGCAGCAAGGGCCTCTATTGGCCTTGGGCCAAATTGGTTGATCAGAAAATCTTCTAGGCTGGGAAGAGAATGTCAGGAACTGTTTTACAGGGGTCTGGGTAAGAATATTAGGGAGCACCCAGAGAAGGGTGGGGGCATAGAATGGGGAGTGAGTGGAGGCTAAGGGTGAAACTTTCCTGACCACACACTGGTGCTCAGGAGGTCTTCCAGTATAGACTATTCACAAGGCACAGTAAATTAGACAGGCTTAAGTTTACCCAGCACTTACCAATGTGAATTTAATCTTTATTTCACATTTAAGGACAAGAAGTAGCAGGAGGACTCCTGGAAGTAACCACTAAGTTCCTGGAGTGTGCTTTGGGGTCAGTCAAGGATGGCTCTGTTAATCACCACCCAAGGAAGACAATGATTTCCCTGAGTTGAAAGTTCTTGGTCTGAATTGTGGCTCTGTCCCCACCACCTGTGTGTCAGGGCCAAGTTCTCCAAGTCTCTGTCTATGTCAACCTATTGTGTTGAGTGCTTATTTGTGTGCCAGGCAAGGACTGCATCGACCCAGGAAGGGGTGCAATGAACAGGTTAAAGGCTTCTCTCCTTGCCATGCCATTTTTTAATAAAAATAAGAGCCTCATATCTTGACTGGCACCAAGTAAGAATACACCTGGTAATAATACATAAACTAAACAGCTCTACAGAAATGAAATATTTTTCATGGTAATGGACCAAATTAGGGTTTCCTACATAGTTATTTGATATGTAAGCAGGTATTCTATTTAAATAAAACTAGTGTTAATGGTCATTTTTCTTCCGCACTTTGCATATTGTTTTTAAACTTGTGCCATGCATGGGAACTTGGGGAAGTTATATGGGGTGGCTTGTGTAATGATCACGATTTTTAGTTCTGTATTTGGTGCTTTGACATTTGGGGTCTTGCTGACCCTGGAGGGACTGCTCCTCTCAGGGTCAGTCAATTCTTAGGGATACTAAACAACTCACCTTCCAGTGTACCTTTCATATGGAAACTAGCCAATGCAGATCCTACCCACCCCCTCTCCCTTCTGACTGTCATACTATGCCCCTGCCCTAAACTGATCACTCCAGGGCCAGGATTGGACAACTCTGGGCAGCCTCTACAGCACAAAGCCCTGCAATTAGGCACACTAGACAATTCTAAACCTTCTAAGTAACCCTGCCTTGCATATACTTTCCAGAAGAAACCACAATAGAGGCTCTTTGTATTTTTCCTGCTCCTCCTCCCTCTAACATATACTGATGCTTCCCTATGTGACCCTGCATAATGGGCCGTGCCTGCTGGATCTGTGCACATAAACTTCTTCCTTCATGACAACCATTTCCATGTCTGCATGCCTTATTATATTTGATATCCTTAAAGCAGCTTGGTATGTGGGTACAGGATATCTATTGTACACAAGTATAGACATTATATACCACTTCCAGGAAAGGGACAGGCTTATGCTGTACATCTGGATATTTGATTTCAACACAGATTTGTGCAAGGCAGCAAAGCACTGGGTCTAAGCATGAATTGGTATAGATGTGGGTCCCCCTTCCCACCTATGCACCTCTGACTTCACTTTCTTATGCATCAGTTTCCTTTAGAGTTAAGAGGAGACAATGCCAATAGTACCATCTCATAAGGTTCTTATGAGGATTCAGTGAGATGATCAAGGCAAAGACTGAGCCTGGGGCTTGGTACTAAAGAAATCCCCCTGATGAGCTATTTTTAAAACTAATTGTTCAATGTTTATTAAGAAGTAAACCTACAAAATAAAATTTGAATTATTTTTCTATTATATTAAACCATATTTTATAGGTTAAAATGGTTGATTTTTGGTGATTTCATAAGGCTCCATGTTAGCAATTCATTTGTTTCTTTGATGCTTTTTCACATCGATTGTAATTCAAGTCAAACTTATATTTCATATTTTCCACAATTACATTGGGCAACAAAACCCCTGCTAATTTTGGTTTATTCAACAGGCTCTGGAAAGTTACTTTTCACTCTTGATTTTAAATTTTCCACTTCCAATGCTATGTGTTTATAGAAGTAAAAGTCTCCAAAAATAAAATCACACATAATTTCCACACATTCTTTCAGGCAAACAAACATTGTCTTAACCTGCAGTGGAAATAAAGCCTTGTTAATTTAAAAAAATTCCAGGTATTCACAATGAAGCCTGCCTATTTCCTTGAAACCCTCGTAAACAGCTCTACAGAAAACCCGTGATCAATGACAGGAAGGTTCAAAGTGGTATTCAGTAGCATCTTAGAATTGTGGGAATGGAAATTTACAAAGGACAGAACTGCTACTCACCAGAAAATCATGGGATGGTTCCTTTAATTAAGAGTGTGCACAGCTGTCATGGGGACACGTGGGAGAAGCATCCTCTGTGCATGAGGCTATTGGGATACTCTGCTCTCCCAGGAGCTGGCATTATTTATGACCACAGCACATGCTTCAAGCAAATTCCAAATCACTGTTTATTTTAACTCAATGACAAAGTTGTCTGGAAAAGGTACCATACGCAAGAGGAGTGTCACAGAAATTCCTATGGAATGGCATTTAGTATTACAATAGGGCAGTATTTCTCCAAGTCCATGACCCCATGGTTCTTTTCCAACCATGCAATCCCAGCCTCATCCTCAGGTCTTCTGAACTGGAGTCATTTGACAACACTAACGACATGCATTTTCACAGCTGCCTCACCCCACTACCTACTGTACCAGGGCTGGCATCATGTTGGGTATTCTATGAGGTCACCCTCTTTATCTGGTAGCTGAAGGAGCTACTGGTGTGGTTCACTGAACAATCATCTATGAAGGTTTGGGAGAGCCTTTAGATGAGTCAGTTTAGCATGGTCAGGCCTTGGCTTCATCTGTTTTGCTCAGAGTTAGGGACCCGCTTGGGGAAGATGACCTTCCAAAACTTCCAACCACTCAGGCAGAAGGGCTTCAAGTCGACCATGGAGCCTATCATCCAGGTATAAATGCTGAACACTGGGCCTGGAAATAGCTTTGGCAGAATCATGATGCTTAGCATCTAGTTAGAGCTGAGCCTTTTGAACAAAGTAAGTATATTTTATGCAAATAACGTATAACAAAGAAGCCTCCAAAGCTGGAGGAAAAACTTCTAATCGCCTCAGCATTAGGACTTGGTGCCATGGAAACTTTGGGTCTAATCTGACTGGGATAACTGAACTTGATAATGGACCCAGACTTAAACAACAGTAATCAAGGAGTACAAGTGAGCATTGCCATCAACTCCCTCATGCTTTCCACCTGCCTACCCACCCTCTCATTTCTGAGGCTCATCTTTCTGTATGTATTCCTTTGATATTTTTCCTCCTTTTTTTCTTCCTACCATTCCCTGTCAACACTTCCTTCTGGTTTTTCTCATCTCTGCTGTTTTATGAAATACTAGATCTTTCAAAGTTATTTGTTTTGAGTTTCAGGGTATGGGACAAACAAAAGGCAGGTCAGCCTGTGCTAGGCTCCACAGCAGGGCTGTATGGTAGGACATGTATCTCTGAGTTTCTGGCATCAGGTCTGCATTCCCATTTTGCAGGGGTAAAAAGTAAAACTGAATGTTTAAGTCAGGTTTAGAGATGCATGAAGAGCTTACACAATTATTTGTCTGAGTAATTTCAGAAAGGACAGCTTTACCATTTAACCTATCCTGCTTAGCAGTTCATCCAATGTAGATGAGCACAAGGCCTATGAACCAGAGTTATTAAAATATGCTCACAGTAGTACAGAAAGGGTGATAATAATTGTAAAATTGTAGAAGGCAAGATTATGGGTCATCAGGTCACAATGAAACACTGTTTGGCTGTTTGTCGGCCAAGCCTCTTCTATATTAACTGTAAATTATTTCTCACAGTAGAATTATTCCATCAGCCTGCAATTAAGTAAATTAATAATGTACATCTCAGTGGGACTTTGCACACTGACATACACAGGTGTGGAAGTGTGTTCCTCTCGAATAGGAAATAACATTTACAAGCACAAAAACACACATCTTGGGAACAAAAAATCGAAATGCGAACATGTAAAGCACAGATTCTTCTGCTTCCTTCCACCATGGATTTTTATGTCCCCATGTGCATATCTGCATGTTAAAAGACACTGGCACAATTACATGACAAGTAAAGCTTACCATTGTTGTAGGTGCGAAAATTTCCTACAAATTTTATGTATTCATAAGTTGGAAATTCCTTTGGGTTCAAGCTGCCTCTGAGAAGATGGCAATAAAACTCTAAATCATTGTCAGCTGTATCATTAAGGGAACAGGAAGAGAAAGACAACATGAGCATTATACACTGTAGACTAAACAAGTCACATCCTTGTGAAATTCTCATGGTGAGAATATTTCTTTCACTGTGATTGAATTTTGGACATGATTTTGTAACCTTTTCAGCATAGGTTCCATCCCATAATTTACAGATATATTGCATTCCACACTTAGACCAACCCAATTAATCGTCTTTGCTCACAGATGTCTGTGGTTAGTTATGCTGGCATTGATTAGTGCCAGTTGTTTTCACAGGGTATATAAAAATAATGCAACTCATATAGAACTGCCGCATTTAATTTAATTTTTTTGCTTTCCTTTGAGGTAAAATCAGATGAACAATAGGATAAATTCTTCATGGAAAATGGACAAAGGCTAGAGCAAGCACAAGGCAGCTTCAGTACCTCCATCAGTGTATCTGCTTCATTAAGTGATAAGTGGTTCAGCAGACACCAAGGCCAAACTTTTAGCCAGGCGCCAGTTTAAAAACTTAGAAACACCATAAACACTGCAAATGCGTATAAATTATCCAGTGACAGACTAGGAAGAAGAAAATTTGGATTTTTGACCTATTTATTCAATTTTAGGTTGGTTATTTGGTATCATACAAATCTAGTATTACACTGTCCTCCAAAATAAGCAGATTGCTGATTTTTGCACTGTTTATTACTAAAAGACCCTCATGTGAAAAAAGAAATTTCTCCCATTCTATGTAAAACAAATTATTATTCTTAAGCTCTATGCTTTCAAATTAATTTTTAATTTTTAATTTGTTGATTATGCTATTACAGTTGTCCCATTTTTTCTCCCCTTTATTACCCTCAGCCCTGTACCCCCCTCCCACCATCATTCCCCCAACTTAGTTCATGTCCATGAGTCATACATACAAGTTATTTGGCTTTTCCATTTCCCATACTATTCTTAACCTCCTCCTGTCTATTTTGTACTTAACATTTATGCTTCTTATTCCCTGTACCTTTTACCCCATTCTCCTTCCACCTCTCTACTGTAACCCTCCATGTGATCTCTATTTCTGTAAATCTGTTCCCATTCTAGTTGTTTACTTAGTTTTTTTTTTTTTTTAGGTTCAGTTGTTGAGAGTTGTGAGTTTGTTGTCATTTTACTGTTTGTATTTGTTATCTTCTTTTTCTTTGATAAGTCCCTTTCACATTTCATATAATAAGAGCTTGGTGATGATGAACTCCTTTAACTTGCCTTTATCTGGGAAGTGCTTTATCTGCCCTTCCATTCTAAATGATAGTTTTGCTGGATAGAGTAATCTTGGATGTAGGCCTTTCATGCCTTCAAATATTTGTTTTTAGCCCCTTCTTGCCTGCATTGTTTCTTTTGAGAAATTAGCTGATGGTCTTATGGGAACCCCCTTGTAGGTAACTGTCTCCTTTTCTCTTGCTGCTTTTAAGATTCTCTCCTTATCTTTAATCTTGGCTAATGTAATTATGATGTGCCTTGGTGTGAGCTTCCCTGGGTCAACCCCTTTTAGGACTCTCTGGGCTTCCTGGACTTACTGGAAGTGTATTTCCCTTGCCAGATTAGGGAAGTTCTCCATTGTTTTCAAATAGGATTTCAATTTCTTGTTCTTCCTCTTCTCCCTCTGGCACCCCTATGATTTGGATGTTGGAACATTTAAAGTTATCAAGGAGGTTCCTAAGCCTCTCCTTGTTTTTTAAAATTCTTGTTTCTTCATTCTGTTCTGGTCGAATGTCCATTTCTTCTTTCTGCTCCAAACTGTTGAGTCCTGGTTTCCTTCCCTTCACTTCCCTACATCTTCCTTTATTTCACTTTTCATAGCCTTCGCTTTTTTCCTGTGTTTTGAGACCATATTCAGCCATATCTGTGAGCATCCTGATTACCAGTGTTTTGAACTCTGAATCTAATAGGCTGGCTATCTCTTTGTCGCTTAGTTGTAATTTTTTTCTGGAGCTTTGACCTGTTCTTTCACTTAGCCATATTTTTTTTGTGTCTGTGTGCCTGTCACGTAGTAAAGGGAGGAGCCTTAGATATTCACCAGGGTAGGGCATCCCAGGTCGCTGCATTGTGGCACTGTATGTGGGGGAGGGGCCTGAGAGGGAACAATACCTCTTGCTCAGTTCTTGGCTGGCTTTCAGTCACTCCCAACTACCCACAAGTGAATTGGGCTCTTCTGGTGCTGATTCCCTGCTGGGTGGTTTTGTGAATGTTCTAGGAGCCTGTGGGTCTCTCCAGTGAACTCTCATGTGAGGCTGGAAGTTTCTCCTGCTGCCTCAACCCCACAGGTTTTTCAATTAGAGGTTTTAAGGCTTTACTTTTACACACTGGAACTCTGGAAACTTGGGTTGCACAATCTGTCTTGTTCCTCCTGGTTTATTGCATGCAAATGTGGGACTGCCCATTCTGCCAGCCACCACAAAGTGTATCTACTATGCCTCCATCTTGGCTGGAAGTGCCAAATTTTCTATATAAAAAATTAAATGTCTTACATATTCCAAACTCCAGTTGTAGTTCTAATCTTAAAATATACCTCTGAGGATCTTGGATATGTTCTGAGTCACAAGGAAAATTATTCTTAAAATTAGTCCTTCCTTCTTAATTTGTTTAACCTTTCAAAACTAAAATTTTATCTTTATATATGGTAAAACTGGTGAAGTTAAACTTACATTTTAAGTATCCTGGGGAGGGGGAATCTGTCACAAGCATATGGGAAGAAAGCATCTTATAAACTTCTGAATGTTCTTGTTCTGGAAGGAAATTTAATAAATTCTGATCCATGACATCTGACTGAAAAGTAAAATAAAGAACAAAGGTATACACACAATGAATATGGAAAACAAGAGCAAAAGCAAAAACTAAACATTCATGTAAATTCACAATTATTTTCAGAAATGAAAAATTCAGTATCTGATTTTTGGTGAAGACCTTTAATCTCTCATTCTGTAATTTTGAATTGTAACCCAAAGGTTTTACTTGCTCAATGCACATGTGCTATTGCCTATGGGCCCAGCAAGAAGTAAGAGTGAAGCAGACAAACATGCAGAGTCCTCTTCATCTTCAGGAGCCCCATATGCTCATGTCCCCCCTTCTGGTTAGGGGAGCATGGGCAGTGTGATTGACCCAGCACAAGATCAGTCACTCATTTGAAGGGTTCTGAGGACCTCAGTGTGGTTCCTTTTCTGACATTTATGTCTGCAGGTGGCTGTCTGTTTACTTCTTAAATGTCTATAGTTGAAAGAACTGCACTCTTTCTTCTAAGTGCCTGAGCATTGTAGATACAAAATAAATACAACTTTGAGTCTGGATAGCACTGATGAACAGAACTGTCTGTGATGAGGAATATGTTCCATAATCTGTGAGTCCATTATGGAATCCACTAGCCACATGGCTACTGATCAAGAGCTACTGAGCTTTTGAAATGTGGCTGGTATGACCAAAGGCTGAATATTTAATTGCATTTAATTTTAATTATTTGAATGGGAATGTTAATAGCCACACATGGCTATGGCCATGGCTCCCAGATTGGATAGTGCAGGAGGAAACTTCCAGTGGAGACAGAGGATAGGTATGTCTATATCACTTCCTTGGACACCCTCAGTAAACTTACCCCCTCTTGCAGCTTAAACATGATCTGTATACACTTGTAAGTGTGTGTATTTAGGCAACTCTCTCTTATGTGCCTTGGCTTAACCTTCCAACTGCCCCTTAGATGCCCCCTATGGACTAAATATTCACAGAGATCCCCAATATCATCATTCTTTTGCACCCATACTTCTCCTCCCCTTGTCTTCTCTGGTCTCGTATGTGGTATTGTCATCCAGTCACTCACTCATATCAGACACCCAGGTTTTCTTCTCCCAACCTCATCTTCACAAACAGTGTTCAAGTCCTGTGAGATTTTCTTCCCACCAATTTTCTCAGATCTACTCACTTTTCCATACATATGGCCTCTATGCTAATCCAAACCACCAGCCTCTTTTGTCTGGGGAAAGAACTGGCCAAGCTGGTCTTCCTATTCCAACTCCTGTCCTTGTCCAATTTGTTTTCCAAAAGGAGCCTGCAGCAGATCAAGTTACCAACTTGCTTAAAACCATCTATGGGCTTCCAATTGTTCCTGGGATGAAGCCTAACCATCTCAATTCACTGTAGGGCTCCCACACCTGCCATCTACCTGCTCTACTCTGGCACTTCTGCCTGCCACATCTTCCTTTTCTGAAGTTTGTCAGGATTGTTTTTCTGTCAGGACCTTCCTCCAGGCTCTACCCTCTGACTGGAATATTCTACATCCTCTCCCCTTGTTCACCTAACTTTTCAGGCACCTGCTTTGAACTCATGTGCCCTGAGAAGCTACTCATGACAGCCCCTCATCCAGAATGGTGCCCTCGTCCAGAATTGTGCCCTCACCCTGGATTGTCAAGCTTCTGCACCCTTCTGCTACACTTGCTAGGTCATTCTGCACTTGCCAGCATGTCTTCATCTAAAGGGGACTGGCCCTCATTGTGGCAATGAAGGTGACAGCTGAGAGGTTGGGTTTGAAGAATGGCTCTGCCCCCTCCAAGCTACACTTTGCTCAACTAGAAGATTGAGAACCTGATGTGAAATGAGCTGATTTAAACATCTATAACAGGGGTGTCAAAGTTCTTTTCATCAGGGGCCACATAAGCTTCATGGTTGTGTTCAAAGGGCTGAATGTAGAGCTCTTTGTTCCTAGGTAAAGAGTAGTTACATTTATATGGTTCTAAAATTACATTGGACACTTTGAAGGCAATAGCAAGGCTGATGTGGACCCAGTGAAAATGAGTTTGACATTCCTGATCTACAAGAACTGGAGGGACAACAACAAACAAAGCCCAGAGCAAGTAAAGGAAAGAAAATAATAAAAATGAGAGAAGAATTCAATGACATAGGGATAAAAGAACAATCCTAAGGATCAATACATACAAGAGTTGGTTCTTTGAAAAGGGGAACAAAATTAACAAGCCTTTAACCAGACTCATCAAGAAAAAAGAGAAAGGACCCAAGTAAATAAAATCAGAAACAAAAGAGAAGAAATTACAACTGATACCACAGAAACACAAAGGATTATAAGGAATTACTATAAACAACACTATACCAAAAAATTGGAAAACCTGGGTGAAATAGACAAATTCCTAGAAAATATAGTTTTCCAGAACTGAATGAAGAATAAGCAGAAAGGTTGAACAGAACAATAACAGCCAGTGAAACTGAAGCAGTAATTGAAAAGATCCCAGCACATAAAAGCCCTGGACTGGATGATTGCTCAAGAGAATTTTACAAAACATTTTAGGAAGAGCTAATTCATATCCTTCACAGGCTATTTCAAATAATCTAAGAAGATGGAAGACTCCCAAACTCTTTTTCTGAGACCAGCATCACCCGAATCCCAAGATTGGATGATGACACAAGAAGGAAAGAAAACCACAGGCCAATATCGCTGATGAACATAGATGCTAAAACCCTCAACTAAATATTGGAAAATCACATACAGCTATACATTGAAAAGATTACACATCTGATCAAGTGATATTCATCCCAGGGGTGCAAGGATAGTACAATATTCACAAATCAATAAATATAATACATCACATAAACAAAAGGAAAGACATAAATCATATGATCATATGAATAGATGCAAAAATAAGCATTTGATAAGGTACAGCCCCCATTTATGATAAAAACACTCAGCAAAGTGAGAGTAGAGGGAGCATATCTCAATAAAGGCCATATATGAGAGACCTACAGCCAACATCATGATGAACAGGCAAACTTAAAAGCTTTCCCACTAAGATCAGGAACAAGACAAGGGTGTCTGCTTTCACCACTTCTACTCAACATAGTAATGGAAGTCCTAGCCACAGTGATCAGACAAGAAAAAGAAATAAAAGGCAACCAAATTGAAAAGGAGGAAGTGAAACTGTTATTGTTTGCAGATGACATGATAGTGCACATAGAAAACCCCACAGACTCCACCAAAAAATGGCTCAACCTAAAAAATAAGTCTGGCAAAATGGTGGGATACAAAGTTAACACTTTGAAATCAAAGGCATTTTTTGTCCACCAACAATGATTTATCAGAAACAGAAATTAGAAAAAAAAACCATTTGCTACAGCAATAAGAAAAATAAAGTACCTAGAAATAAGCCTAACCAAGGAGGTAAAATATCTGTATGAAGAAAACTATACAACACTGAAGAAAGAAATCAAGGAAGACACAAACAAATGGAAATATATACCGTGTTGATGGATTGGAAGAATTACCATTATCAAAATGTCCATACTACCCAAAGCAATTTATGGATTCAATGCAATACCTATTAAAGTACAAGGACATATTTCACAGACATAGAACAAACACTTCAAAAATTTATATGGAACCATAACCAGCCCTGAATAACAACTGCAATTTTGAGAAAGAAGAAAAAAGAGGAGGGATCACAATACCTGATTTTAAACTATATTACAATGTCAGGGTAACCAAAAGAGTCTTGTAGTGGCGTAAGAACAGACACATAGATCAATGAAATAGAACAGAGAGCCCAGAAACAAACCCAAGTCTCCATGGTCAATTAATATTTGACAAAGAAGCAGAGCATAAAATAGAGAAAAATATAATAAAAATATCCTCTTCAACAATTGGTGTTGGGAGAGCTGGACAGCTACATCTAAAAAAATGAAACTTGATCAGCAACTTGCACCATATCCAAAATAAATTCAAAGTGGATAAAAGATGTAAATGAAAGTTGTGACACCATTAAAGTCCTTCAGGAGAACATAGGCAGGAAAACCTCAGATATTCTATGCAGCAATATTTTCACTGATATGTCCCCTACAACAAGAGACATAAAGGAAAGAATAAACAAATGGAATCTCATTAAAATAAAAACCTTCTGTGTGGCTAAAGAAAACAGCATTAAAATGAAAAGAGAACCAACTGTATGGGCAAACATATTTGCCAATGATATCTCAGACAAGAGTTTGATCTCCAACATATATATAAAGAACTCACATGACTCCTCTCCAAAAAGACAAACTACACAATTATAAAATGGGCAAAGGACTTGGGCAAATGCTTCTCCAAGGAGGACATACAGAGGTCCCAGAGACATATGACAAGATGCTCAGCATCACTAGCAATCAGACAGATGCAAATTAAAAACACAATGAGATACCACTTCACACCACTGAGAATGGCCATCATAAACAAGGCAACAAACAAGCGTTGGAGAGGTTGAGGAGAAAATAGAACCCTAGTGCACTGTTGGTAGGAATGCAGACTGGTACAGCCACTATGGAAAATAGTAAGGAATTTCCTCAGAAAACTAAAAATAGATCTGCCTTTTGACACAGCAATTTCACCACTAGGATTACATTCTAAGAACCGTGAAACACCAATCCAAAAGGACCTATGCATCTCATAGCAGCACAATTTACAATAGCCAAATGCTGGAAGAAAGCTAAATGCCTATCAGTAAATGAGCAGATCGAAAAACAATGGTACGTTTACATAATGGAATTCTATGCAGTAGAAAGAAAGGCAGAGGTCCTACCCTATGTGACAGCATGGGTGGAACTGGAGAGCATTATGCTAAGTGAAATAAGCCAGGCAGTGAAAGGCAAATACCATAGGATCTCATCATTAACAGAAACCTAATCAACAAAATGAACAAACAAGCAAAGTATAGTCAAAGACATTGAAATTGAGAACAGATTGACAGTGACCAGAGGGGAGGGGAGAGGGGATAATGGGGGAAAAAGATGAAGGGTTT